TAGCGGGGGGTGCTGCGGGAGTGTCTGCGTGCACATCTCTTGCACGATTTGAGAGCAGCCAGGCTGTGGAGGCATAGAAGGATCAGGAGCCCCGCCCTTTTGTTTTAAACAGGGCAGATGTGTCCAAATCCTTTAAAAGGGTTAACCCACACAAGGCTCCTGGACCTGATGGCATCCCTGGCCGTGTTCTCAGGGTGTGTGCAGTTCAGCTGGCAGAGGTGTTCACAGACATCTTCAACAGGTCCCTGCTGCAGTCTGTTGTCCCCACATGTTTTAAACACTCCACCATCATTCCTGTCCCCAAAAAGACAAAAATCACCAGCCTCAACGACTACCGCCCAGTAGCACTCACCTCCATCATAATGAAGTGCTTTGAGCGGTTAGTCAAAAAATGCATCACCTCCTCCCTCCCTGACTCTCTGGACCCCCTGCAGTTTGCCTACAGAGCAAACAGGTTCACAGACGACGCCATAGCCCTCACCATCCACACTGCCCTCTCACACCTGGACCCGAGGAACACATAGTGAGAATGCTGTTCATTGATTACAGTTCAGCATTCAATACCATTGTGCCCTCCAAGCTGGCCATCAAGCTCAGAGACCTCAGGCTCAATAGCGCCCTCTGTGACTGGCAGTGCAGGTGGGAAACATCACATCCTCCACCCTGATCCTCAACACCGGAGCCCCTCAAGGCTGCGTGCTCAGCCCTCTCCTCTACTCCCTGTTCACTCACGACTGTGTGGCCACACACAGCTCCAACACCATCGTGAAGTTTGCTGACGACACGACCGTCATCGGCCAGATCACCAACGGCGACGAGACGGCGTACAGAGAGGAGGTCGAAAACCTGATATCTTGGTGCCAGGATAACAACCTCCATCTCAACGTCAGCAAAACAAAGGAGCTGATAGTGGATTACAGGAAGCAGCAGGGAGAGGGACACGCCCCCATCGCCATCAATGGGACTACGGTGGAGAGACTCAGCAGCTTCAGGTTCCTCGGTGTCCACATCACTGAGGACCTGACATGGACTCTTCACACCACCACCATCACCAAGAAAGCACGACAGCGGCTCTTCTTCCTCCGCAGGCTGAGGAGGTTCAACATGGACTCCAGGATACTCTGCAACTTCTACAGGTGCACCATAGAGAGCATCCTGACCTTCTACAGGTGCACCATAGAGAGCATCCTGACCTTCTACAGGTGCACCATAGAGAGCATCCTGACCTTCTACAGGTGCACCATAGAGAGTATCCTGACTGGCTGCATCACGGCCTGGTACGGCAGCTGCACCGCCCTCAATCGTAAGGCTTTACAGAGGGTGGTGAAAACTGCACAGAACATCACCAGGACGGAGCTGCCATCCATGGAGGACATTTACTCCCAGCGGCTCAGGAAGAAAGCCCTCAGGATTATAAAAGACCCCCATCACCCCAGCCACAAACCGTCCAGTCTGCTGCCGTCTGGCAGGCGTTACCGCAGCATCCGGACTAAAACCACCAAACTCAGAGATAGTTTCATCCCACAGGCAATAAGACTGTTAAACACATTAACTGTTGAAACAACATCCATAACATTCATCTGGCTGCTACTTAAAAAATATTTTTCTATTTACCTAATACATCATATTTCAATGACTTGCATATAGACTCTTATTGCACTATTTCACTATTTCACTTTTTTAAACTATTTGTCTTCTTGTATTTACTGTTGGTTGGTTATTGGCTTACACAAGCCAAAAAATCGTTATGACATCATAAAGTGGCCAAAATCTGATCAGCTCATTTTCAGACCGGTTTCTATATAAATGGATCAGGAAAAAAAGTGAGCAAATCTTTTTTCCTGAAACTTCCAGAATCTCTTTCCACAGAGGGGACACATGTTGATATATAAAAGACATGAAAAAGTGGATTTTCCATAATAGGTGACCTTTAAGGCATCACTCCAAATGCTCAAACTATTGTAAGCAGCCTCTCCAAAGAATAGTGTCACTATACATAGAATGACTTGCAGAAAATAAAAAAGGGACATTGTAATACAACGCTGCCATCCTGTAGCCGGCTGCTATTTGTGGCGTAAGCAATGGGTGGCAGAGCGGGGTATGTAATGTTTCATGTCCAGATGAGCTATTGACTGTAAGCAGATATGACTGGCTGTAATCTTTGAGACACACTGCAATTTCAGCATGACCAATGAGTCTATCGTAGGAAAACAAGAGCACATTTTATCAGGCAAGAAGCAGGGTATTTGGCAAAAAATAAATCTGGGTATTGTGTAGGATATAAGGCAGGATTAAAACGCACTGGGATCATCTTGAATGTTATACAGCATTCAGTGTATTACGCTTTTTAATGTACACTTCCAAGCTGCATAAGGTCATATTATGTAGGTCATTATCATGCAGATCCAGATGCATGACAACACTTGGAATCAGGTATAAGATTTGTGGCCAAACCTGAAATGAAAGGTTTATCGTACTTTGAAAACATCTGACGCACATCCCCCTACCGGTAAATGTATTATTGTTGTGTTGTACTTATTCCCTGACATCTAAATGGGCCATCTGGGATTTGCACTTTGTTCAATTTCAGTGTTACTTTAATCCATAAATCTTATGCAACATGTGTTTGTTCCTTTGTATGTATAGGGTTCCCTGTCCCATGAACTGTATAACTCAAGTCATGCAAGCTTATGGAAGCAGTTGGCATGCAAAGTAATCCTAAACCTAACACAAACTGAGAGAAAAAACGCACCAAAAACATCCAGGGATGTCTGTTACACATTACATTTGTATCATTACATCATGATCTCAGCCAAACATGCAAAATATCTGATCTAATGCCCTCATGGTGATGGACACAAGTGAATGGAAGAGTGTGTGTTCAGTGTGGATGTTAAGTGTGGGTGTTCAGTGTGGGTGTTAAGTGTGCGTTCATTGTGGGTGTTCAGTGTGGGTGTTAAGTGTGGGTGTTAAGTGTGGGTGTTCAGTGTGGGTGTTCAGTGTGGGTGTTCAGTGTGGGTGTTAAGTGTGGGTGTTCAGTGTGGGTGTTCAGTGTGGGTGTTCAGTGTGGGTGTTAAGTGTGGGTGTTCAGTGTGGGTGTTCAGTGTGGGTGTTAAGTGTGGGTGTTCAGTGTGGGTGTGTAATGCCACATTGTGGAGAGAGTCTAAGTCTAACTTGGAAGAGTTACTATTATTTTTTCACCCTAAAGATTAAGTATAAGCTGTTTCTAAATTGTTCAATATTCATATATTCATTCCAAAAATGAATTGTGTTTTAGGTTGACTATTAAAATCTGTCCAGGGACTACAGATGAAAAATAGCCTCTTGGCTAACTCTGGCACATTTACAGAAATGTTCATTAATGTGCACTGTCCCTGTTAAATAAATAAAATAAGCACAGATGTTGTTGAAAGTAAATGTAAATAATGTAAAACTACACTTTACACAGAGGAATACCTCCTGTGACTGTTATATTATTCTACAGTTTATTATTTGATTCTAATTGTTGATTGGTTGTTTGTGAAGAGGGTCGTGATATTGTAGTTTTTCAAGATGGAGCAATTTTTCTAATGTATTTATCTGCAGTTTTTGTGTTATCTTTCATACACAACCTTCACCTGAAAAGTAGCTAGTAAAAAAATGCTACTAAATTGGTGTATTTCTGGAAAAAGTTCAAGATGTTTTTCTGAAATAGGTATTGCTAGGTTATATATATGTTGCGAACAAAGACCTAAAAGTGTACATACTTGATGAAAGTAAACATATGGGAGAAGACTGAGCTTTAGGCATTTTGTTGACAAACTAATCGATTGTCAAACACTCAATCCAATCAAACAATACAAGAAACGAGAATACATTCAGAAGAATAATGTTTAGTTGGTTGTTGCAAATGTTCAGGCTCCACCTGTCCAAGGGATACTTATCTAATGAGTACTTCCATAAATGATTACACTTTATTTACATCGTTTTTGAATGCATGCAGTTTACTTGTAATGGCTAATGGGTGTAAATGTTACAATGTGGTATTAGTGCTGTGTCTGGTTCCCAATGTGCTTTTGGCTGGTTTATCAAAGCAAAAAGGAACCCTATAATTCAATCATGTTATGATCTGTTGATTTAACAAAGTGTGTAGTTTGTTTTAGGAGACGTTAGAGCATGTAATCCCTAAATGTACATGTCATAATGCATTCATAATATTACTTTATTAACTAAACCGCACCATGCAGTTTTATTTGGAGAATATTATCTTCTCGCAATGCAAACTGCTGCTAAGTTTGCCTATATGAAAGCAAGTCCCTCTCTCTTTCAACTAGACAGTGCTATGCATTCAGTTCACCCACACTTTAAATGTTGGACCATATCTCCAACACCTATAAAAGGTGTGATTTCCGCAAGATGTCCAACTAGTTTCCTCATGTGAGCAGGGGCTATGATCACACCGGCACCACAATCTGTTTCACCGTGATGTCTTCTATTATCACTCCTCAGTAGGAAGCCAACCTGCCGCCAGCCGAGCTACAGGAGGCATGCATGCTGTGTGTCAATTGATTTAAAAACACGTCTTTATTAACTTAATATAACACGTTCTGCTCCTATAATATCCACTTCCTCTGACCATGTGTGCTACTGGTGGCAGAGGAGGGGAAAGGTGACCTGGGGGGCTATCATGAGCCACATTATGTAAATAAGGTGCAGGGGCATGTGCCAGTTAAACCGCAGTGCCGTGCGAAGTGAGACAGAAGCTTTGGACGGTAGAAGCCGGGGCCGTCGGTAGATGGCGGTAACCCAAGAAACCTGATCCACAGAGTTCTCGGGCACTCTGTCTCAGTTTGCAGCACTCGCTCTGAAGGCAGAGGAGCTGAACAGTTTGAAGGACATAATAGAAAAACGCAAAAACCCAGGAGAGCTCACGGCGGGTCCTCTCGAGCTTTGCGCGCAGCACTCCCGAGCAGGAGACGGAACGCTTTGCCAAAAAGAACAACGGGAAAACTAAAAACACCATGGAAGACAAATCGAATTCGTTCTCCAGCAACAAGGAGGAGAAGGCGGATGGGAATAATGTGTTTCAGAGGCAAGACTCGATACAGAAAAATAACACGGGGAGCCAGAACATGAAGGACCACGGCAACTCAGTGGGCTTCAAGGGGGAGCGGGAAGAGGCCATGGCCGGTTTTGACGATCTGGACGAGGAGGACAGGCAACATGGTTTTATGCAGAGGCAATTTGGGGCCATGATGCAGCCCGGAGTGAATAAGTTCTCCTTGCGTATGTTCGGCAGTCAGAAAGCCGTGGAGAAGGAGCAAGAGAGGGTGCAAACGGCCGGATACTGGATCATTCATCCATATAGCGATTTTAGGTAAGGGCTGGAAAAAACACCTGCTCACCCTCCCTCTTTTTTTCATCCACCCCTCCCGTCACCCGGGGGTCTGCAAGCTATACACTTTCACACATGACGCTCTGTCATCGGCAAAGCCTGCCCCGAAGCGCAAACGCTAATCTGTATTTAGGCAGTCAGGCTCAGGGCTTCACTGAAAAAATGTGCTCAGCGAGTGTCTGCGTTTCATTGCGGCATTTTTATTATAACAGAGAGGGACGCACTGAGGCTACAAAGGTGTATCAGTGAGATGTCCTTGGAAAAAGGATGGTGAATGTCAACACACAGGCGCACCTTCTCCTGATTGTTCCCCCGTATCACCACAGAGTCGGCTCTTCAGTGCGATATGTTCCCGTGTAGAGGTGACAGTACCTGGACACAATGTGACAGTGCCATTGCACCATCACGGTTGTAAACATTTCATTGTAGGCGGAGGTACGAGGCGACGGGCCTGTGTGCAAAAAAAATGCACAGAATGCGGTAAAATCGTGCAGGGAAACGATTAGGGAGAAAATGGCCGTTTTTGGAATTAATCAGTCTAAATTAATCTGGCTAACACTAGATAACACTTATGGATGAGTGATTTGTTTTTAGGGGGGAGTAAATGTAATGGAATGTGTTGCTCATCATGGCACACTTACTTCCTTGTCATTCATGCCACAGTGACATGGTATTTTATGGCTTGTCATTCTCAACATATAGTCCCATTGTTGTGAAGAGTGATTCTGTAAGTGGAAACTACATTTAGCCTGACTCTATTATCACACATTCATGATGAGTATAGTGTTGCAAATGAGTCTTGCCATTGTGAGTTTAGACCAACTGCTTCTAATGCGTGCTCTAATTTGTTTAAAATATATCTGGCAGAGCACAGTCAAATGGTAAACAAATGAGATCATGTACAGCCAGGACTGGTTCTCTACACGCTGCATGTTTACAGTTCACCACTCAACCAATTAAGCATCTCATCTGCGCCGGTGTCCCCTGGCACGGCTTGATGGTGACAATCATCCGCCTTTTCCATTGAAGCTAGTGACACGCAAGGGCACGTTGATCCCGCTGCCTGTAACACGGAGCTGTCCATGGTCCTGAACTCTGAGCAGGCCTGAGTATGCAGTACAATGTTTCTCTAAGCTTTAATGCATGCTCCTGGTTCTAATATAAAGATCTAAACTCTGCAAAACGTCACTTTTATGAGCGCTAAGCTTTGCCTCGCTTTTATTAGTACATTGATCTTAATGCAACAACATCACAATAGCTCTAACTGCCATTTCACTCAAAAATAATGCTAAGTCGGATGCACTGTAGCCCACACAAAGGCACACAGGCATATGCACATGCCCTTGTGCTCGCACAGATGTACGATGATGGTGGGCAAGGATTAGTAGCACAACAGTCAATGAGCTTAGCGGTCTCTGAAAACAATTATGTAAGGACATTGACCTCTCTCTACAAGATGGCTAAAAGGTTACAATTCAGTCATATGGCCCTTTTACAGCTGGCTATAAATTAGTTTTATTAAGTGTATGGCTGATCTACTGAATGCTTTTTTTGTTTAAGAGATAAAGAATTGAGGGGAAAAGTGCCGGGTAAAGGCTCCATTATGGATCATATCACTGTTGTACATATATAATTTATAACCATTGCATTGTCTTATAAATACGATACTTGTTGGGCAATCAATGGCGATTTTTGCAATTTAATCTCTGCTGAAGGAGATTTTCTTTCACTAACTCAGACTGTGAATCCCCCCCTAAGGCTCCTTCCTCATGACATTTTCCAAAGGGCATTTTTTTTATAGGATGTCCTTGTCCTCAAGCTAGTTTAAAGACAACCCCTTTTTGCAAGACAGATTGCCCCGTAGCTTGTACTTTAAGGTTAAATCCTAGTGCTTCAAGAAGCTCAAATACTGGTGCATAAATGATGGAGGTGCAAGGGTACACTTTGTTTGCCAGGTCTCCTTGTAATGTAGCTTTAAAAGTAATCTAATTCTAAACTGTAGGGCTTAACCTAGCCCCTTAATTAATTTACTTTGTTTGTACATATTAAACATTTCCTGGACCTTATTATTTTCTATACTGAGAGATATTTGTATGACCCAAAAGAGAAAACCCTGTAGGTTCTTTAATGAAAACTCTTACGTAAGTACAGTCCATGAATGACACCACTGTTCACACAGGCTTTATATTGCTTTGTGGGAGTGTTTGAAACTCAATATCCAACATATTCTTTGTACACAGTGGCTGCTTAAAGATTAATGGCAGGTTAGTAATATTCATTATTCATAGATTTTTAGAGAGGGCTCATGCATGGCATCATACACCTCAGGTTATTCTAAGGAGAGGCCTTTGTCGTTTGTTGTCTTCTTTCAGGCATTTTTAAAGAGGCCGTCTGTTTGGCCAAGACAGATGTGTGTGTTTTAGACGTTAAGTCATAGTTTATCAAAGTTTGAAAAAAAACTTGGCAATCTGTCAAAGTCATTTAACAATGACATGTTTTTCATCAGTTTGAGAATCCAGTGTAGAACATTGTAGTCGATTCAAACAAATACTACAAGTAATGCCCTCCCAGACATGGAAGGAAAGAGAATGATGTTTGGTTGTAGATCTGTACTCGTATGCTGTGTTTTTAATAACATCATCACTCACAGATGACTTTGACCGGAATGTATTTGATCTGAATCCCATTTTTTACACTCTATACATCACTCTGTACAGGCGTGTCACCTCTTGGAGCACGTTATACTCGTCACATTGCATATTGGATTGGGGCCGAAAGACTGTGCTGAGTAAGATTCTATGGGCTTCCCTCTGTTGCCTGGCAGGAGTGGTCTGACATTGATTATGATGGAGCACTTGTTGTAGGGTAGAAGAAATGAGCTGGCTTGATTTTGACCATTTTGTTAGCTCTTTGATGAACAGAGGCGGTACATTACTCTGTTCTGAGCTCAATGGGTTGTCTTTTTTGGGTTCTACAGCTCCATGCTCCTGTATTAGATAAGCCCACCTGGCTATAAAATGTCTGGCTTTTTGATTTTCTGTGATATATTTGTGGGTAAGAAATACTTATTTTTTTTAAATAGTCCTTGCAGGGTGCACACATCTGGCAGAGGAACCGATGCTGTGTCTGCAGTGTTGCTTCAAAGCCTATCTAATGTGTTTTGGAACAGTGATCCAGTGATTGCAGCTCCCACTTTAATCAATCAGAACAGCTGCCTGTTGGTGTGTTTGGGAGCATGTTGACAAATTGAGGAAGGATTCGGCATAAGAAATGACTAGCCGTAGTGCAGGGTACATCCTGATGTGAATGCATTGATGGGGAAAAACCTCAGGGAAGATATAGGCTGGAGCTGGAGGCGAGTATATGAGGAGAGCTCCATGTGGAGTTGAAGCGTCAATGGAGCTGCAGAACCTGAAGCAGGAGTGTGGCTGATAACCAAGTGCATCACTGGAGTAGGAGCTGCATTTACAGCTGTGCGCACATCCTCTTAGCTACTAGTTAAACTGGGACTGGGTGCTTTTTCCGAGTGGAGGCAATGAAGCAAGCTTTTAAGTCGATGATGTAGCAAGAGCAGGGCGCAGTCTTCGAGCTGTCGTTGGAGCTGACTGCATTGGCACACTTCGTGACTGGCTCTTTAAAGAGAGAGGGGACAACTCACTTTGCATTCAAATACCTGAAATACCCTTTGTTTTTCAAGGGTTGAGTGAACTCTGCTACATGCTCCTCTCTAATTCAGCAACATGTTTTGCTGCCTTCTGTTTTATAGTTTCAAATTCAAGAAGTGAAACACAATCTTTTATTCATTAGATAAGTGGGTGTGTGTTAGAGGTCACGTACAGTGGAAATGCCACCTACACAAGTCATGAGAGGAACAGAAATATCCTGGAGATGTGGGCACTGTGTGGGCTTTTGTTTATGTTAATGAGTGGAAAACATCATGCATTTACTTGAAATATTACAGTTTAACAGATGCTCATATTGTATTCCTGAGTGGTATAAGTATATTTCGTTTTTTACCCTTTAAATCCACATATAACAAACAAAACCCTTACATATTTTGTCGACTCGTGTCCTCAATTACATCAATGACTTTATTCTAGTTAATGAACTTGTATTTCAAACTTAGTTTCTTTTTAACTTTCTATCTGTTCTAACATTTCTCTTTTTTAATCTTAGACCAATTAAGCTATCCTAAGCTATTTCAGTTTTCCTCAGATCCATAGATTCCTAAAATAAAATAATTGTTTCATCTTTATTTTTTGTTCTTGTTCCCCTCCGATACGAATATGTTTTCATTGTGAATTGTTTTAAAGCAATTTAAAAGATGACTCATTGCAGATGTCATCACTGAAGCCTCATTTTAAACATATAGATGTTAATAAAAAGAATAACCCGTGACGCATACTGCTCTGTGTCCTTGCATGTTGGATGGAGGCAATAGACTGAATATTATACAATAGTGTCTTTAAGTATTCAACATGGCATGATAAAGGGTTTGTTTTTATATTCGCTTAGTCTATGCTCATTGAGATTGTTTCATACGTACCTACCATAAATACTTGAGGAATAAACAGCATAACATAATCCAAAGTGCATCATGTATTGTGCGTAGTTGTATCACCTAACGTATAGATTCAAGGCTCACCGTATGAAGAGTCCAATCCCTACGTCTATAGTTCAATGCCTGCTGGTGTAAAAATACCTATAGTGGATATTAAGAACCACCTGGATGACCCCCGTTTAGTTGGAGTGAAGACAATTATCGGACACATGATCTGTGGGTATTTATAAAGCCAAGGCCCTGTCTTAATTCGTTCAAACAGATCCATTACTGGGTGGCCAGCCAGACAGGCAGCCTGCCTGCCAGCCAGCCAGCCAGCCAGTCCATTTCCATCTTCAACAGCAGCAACGTACGGGCAGGCAGGCAGGCAGAGCAGAGGCAGGCAGCGATGGCGTCAGTGGAGAGTTTTTAGCACAAGATAGGATTCCTGAAAGCATCTATTTTCATTCACGGTTGCTCTGCCTTTATCGAGGCCCAGGACACTTCGTGAGAAGAGCAGGGTGCTGATGAATCACTTCTCTGTTCATCACAAGACAGAGGGCAGGGACATTATCACAGCAAGGAGGACCAAAGGGTCTCCTACTAAAGTCCTTAATACAAGGAAAGGGCCAGCAGCACATTTCATGCCCTTGAATAATAGTTGTACTACTTTCAGTAACTTTGGGACTATGAATAATAAAGATATTTAGGTAACAATATAAGCATATGGAGCTCTCAAAGCACGAGCTAATGCTACCTAATTCTCTTGTGAGGACAGCATTAGGCAAGACCTTAGAGCCTCTTCAAGTCCACAAACGATGGTGTTGAACAATTCCTCAGTGATTGTTAAGACCCATAGTCTACTCTAAATGTTAGATGGCAAACTGATAGTAAAAGTTCTAAAGTCAGACTATAAAACCACCGTCATGTTAGGCCACGTTAGCTGCAATATCTCAGCATATATCGGATGAATTGTCGTGTAAGGTTGTAAAGCAATTGAAGTTCCCCAGAGGATGAATCCTGCTAACAACCTGTTGATGTCTTGCCAACTATTATATGGATTATAATTCATTGTAATGACTTTGGCAATGCTGCTATAATCATGTCAAATGTTGTATCTGTCCAATATTTTGGTTTGTGACCAAATACCGGAAAACATTTCCATCATCCTTAACTGTACTTTATGTTTAGTGCTTATTAGACGTAGTTGAGTTAGCATGCTGATGTTAGCAATTGACTTCAAAGCGCTGCTCTCTTTAAGTTCTACCTAGACTCTATTACATCACTTTTTTTCTAGGTGTATTCTTACCCTTATAGCCTTAAGGTAGGAATATGCAACAGTTGGACGGCTTTCTACTCTTAGACAAACTCTTAGACGTGTAACCACATTATTTGGATTGAAATGCACATGTGAACACCGTCTGTCTGCCTACAACATGTTTTCATCTTTGCTTTACTAACGTATGCCTGTCTCTTTGCAGGTTCTACTGGGACTTGATAATGCTCATCATGATGATGGGGAATCTAATCATCATTCCTGTGGGAATAACCTTCTTCTCAGAGCAGACCACCACCACCTGGCTGGTCTTCAATGTGGCCTCGGACACCATCTTCCTGGTGGACCTGGTCATGAACTTCAGAACGGGGATCGTCAACGAGGAGAGCTCCGAGATCATACTCGACCCCAAGATCATCAAGATGAATTACCTGAAAAGCTGGTTTGTTGTGGACTTCCTCTCCTCCATTCCAGTGGATTATATCTTTTTAATAGTGGAGAAAGGCTTTGACTCGGAGGTTTATAAAACAGCCCGTGCCCTGCGAATCGTCCGCTTCACCAAGATCCTCAGTCTTCTGCGTCTGTTGAGACTGTCCCGACTCATCAGATACATACATCAGTGGGAGGAGGTATGTATATGTGTGTTTGTCTGTACACCTCAGAGTAGGAGATTTAAATACATGTAGAGTAGGACAACAATGCAGAGTTATGGTTGTTTAGATTTCTCTGCTGCATGGTGGTTCTCCGTGTGGGTTCTTCTCCCCGGCAACAACCTTGAAAGGTTAACCCACGGATATAATTGTGCAGGTTTAACGCTAATAGGTGCTGTCAATCACCACTGGTCAGAAGGCTTATCTGTTGATAAAAAGTAATAATGTCAGTTTCAGCTCATTGATGGGTGAAATTAATTCAGAATCCGAAATCAAAAGTAATTGCCTCCTTTTCTTTCAGGAAAAAATGCATTATAGAGTGGGTTATATGGATTTAGGGTATAATATAATGTACGCAGGAGTATAACGACGTGACTTTATAAAGGTAAGATAGATATTAAAGGCTAAATGAACTACTTGTGAATGTTTTGTTGGTGTGGCTGTACGAGATGGTGGATTTTGTGTCATCCTCAAGGTTAAACCCCAGCGGACATTACAGAGACTGATACATTATTACCCTCCATCGAGTCATTGCACTCTCTGACTCAGACTGCTTAACCGGGCTCTAGCCTTCCCGCGGTAACGATTTCATTACACACTGAAGGATTCCTCCCCTTATCCTGACTGTTCCATTCCAGCAGCTAGATACATTTTCACATCGTGACCGGGAAAAAAAAGCGCTGGCATCACGTTTGATTTAAAATGTAGTTTGAACTAAATGTAACCATAAATCTATTTAATAAGCTGGCTGCTCTTTTCTCCCCTCATCCTCAACGTCCTTGCCCTCACAGCTCCCTGTCCGCCCCTCACTGTCTGTCTCCCCTGTTGTTATAGCTGCTGTTATCCATGCTATTTGTTACAAGCAAATGGTGTCGTTGCCAGGGCTCAACCTGAGGTTGCATTCATTGGAGTGGACACACTGTATTGTGCAAGGATATATCAGTAACAAAAATGGTTTATTTACTGTATGAAGATGAAGCCATAAGCATTTATCTATAGTCATGAAGAGTATCTGGCCCGAGTTTGGCGTTAATAGTACAATTGTGCAGCGTTCCCATTTCCAAGCCCCCATAGTATGGATCAATGAACATTTCTGGAGCAGGAAAAGATCATCTTTGTGCTCGACTACCAATGAGGCAGCACACTTTTATACTGTTTATCGCTTATATTTCTCTGTCAGTTTAAAACTATCTTCTATTACCCTTAGTGCATCATGTGGCATTTGACAAACAAAAGCATTATGCATGCTTCAGCAGAGCATTATTCAACCGCCAGTCCAAATGTGGATTTACTGTATATATATACGCACAACGAAACAGACACACAAACCATATTCTGAAAGAGAGCACCATATGGATCTCAGTTGCTTGGTGTTATTGCACACAATGTGGGAAGTTGATTATTAATTTCAGATCGGGGCTGTAATGTATATAATACCGCTGTGCAGTTTGCAGAGATGTATGCAGTGGGAGGATGAGATGGTATGGGCCAGGTTAGAAACACAAATAGACGGTGCCCAAGGTTAATGAAAATCTGCAGTGAGCATACATTGAGGCAGGCAGTGCAGTATAGAGATGTGTCATAATGCTTGATACAACAGCAGAGCTCACTCCCTGCACTTCGTCTCACTAATGCTCAGTCATTCCTCTTTGTTTCCAATTGTCTCTCAGCACCATACCTTCCATTTAACCTTTGAAAATTCAGTATAGAAATGAAATAGTTATTTTGGCGTTTAACAGACACATCGAATAATTACACAACAGCGAATCAGACACATCCAAAGGAGGCGTGAGGGGAAAGAAAAGGCACTCGTGGAAACATTCCAAGCTGTCGTAACATGTTAGATGTAGGATGCAGGATTAGAGCTTTAACGGAGGGGCAAATGCAGTCCCCTGCTGCCATAGTGGGTTCCAAGCAGTAAACAATCATTACAACATCCCCGGGATGGACTCGATTAGTTATTCAGACAGCGAATCTCAACCATAAATCATCTTGCAGCCCTGCACGTCCGTCATTCCTTCATCTGTCGTGTGCCTCCCCGCCCCCCCCTTTTCACTTTGTCACCATCTCTTCCTTCCATCTGCGAAGTAAAGAGGGTTGTTATTTCATCAGCGCTGGACCCAGAACTAGGCTAAGTCAGATTTGTTGATTCGCCAACACACCATTTTTTTTGTGGTGACTTCATCTTCTTCCACTCTCAGGCCTTATACTCCAACTTATTCACTTGTACAGGAGCCACGTTTTCCTGCTTGATTGATACCAACTTATACATGTTTGAAAGATTTTAAAGATGAACCGTAACTAATTCGATAGTAAAAACATGCTTGTGCCAAATGGGAACATACTGCTATGAAGTGGCTGCTGGGTATTATATAAAAACAGCTGAAAATAATAGTATTAGTGCCCACAGAGGAACTGATGCATCTTATTTACATCTTATTCCCATTGTCACTCATTAGTAGAAGTAGATTAGTCCATCTGGCTGTGCCAATAGCAATGATGGCCAAAAGTAACCTACAGAATAGTTTCAATAAGCATTATTACCACCTCTTATTTTATTTAAAGGCCACTAGCAAGACCAGTTTTTGTTATAAAGGCTCTTACCCCAGCTTTTTTTCATTATGAACAATTATGGTAATTATCATATACATACAAAAATCCTTCATCAATTATCCAGTAGAATGCATCACAGCATTTACAGCTGCAGTTCATTTCAAATGACCTGTTTTGTGTGCTACTATTTCTATATATGTGCAGGGTTCTTTCTTTGTTTGTTCAATCATTTATTCATTTGTTTGCTCACACATAATTATTGCAATGCACGGGGCTTAGGGAAATTGCAGCAAACAGTGTGAAGGTCACGCAGGGCAGTAAATATACGCTCTGTATTCAAACACCACAATTTAAACAAGCACTGAACCAAATGGAGGCTGGAGCACGTTTCTACATCTACAAAGAAACGTAGTGACTTTTTCCTTATATTCTTGGGAACATGTGAGTGCCTAAATTAAATATTTGAAGTCTTTCTAAGTGGTGCCGACATGTTTCCACTGTACAGTTGGTGTAGCTTGACTCAAAGACATGTACAACCGGCATGTTACACAGAAAGTGTTTTAGGCACTTTGTAGTGATGCCAGAAAGGGCAACAAGGACTCTTCTGCCAAGGGAAATGCTTTTTCGAGGGCATGTTCTTTAGCCTTTTAGATATGATCTTGAGCAATTCAACTACCAATTAAACTTTTTCCTTACAAAAGTGTTTTGTAAATATTAGAATATGTTGCACAAAGTCATTTTAACCATGGTTCAATGTAACCTGAGAAGTGTTGCTTGTACTAATGGAATATCACTTGATTCTGGAGTTACCCTCACTTCTACTTTAGCATCTTTCAGCTCTTTGTTTTGGTTTTGAAGCCGCACATGTACAGTTTTTATTATCAATGATCAATCATTGGCTCTTTTACAGCATAACATCATCTAATGAAACTTCTTTATACTCCCTATATAGCACCAAACAGCAAACAGGCGAGGTTAGCAGGTGAACATGTAGCATTTATCAGCTACAACTCAAGATATCTGCCTCAAGACTCGGGAAACCGAGTGAAAAAAGAGAGTATATATTTAACTTCTATTCATCATGTATCCAGAAACTCCGAATAAAAAGAGTTCACATACATACAGTACATAAATAAATCCCTTATTAATAAGTTCCCATCTTAGAGGCCTACAGAAGACTTATTTTTAATCACTAGGGATTTAATAATTAAATCAAATAATGAAGCAGTTTTTATAATGGTCATTTTTTGCCCTTTCATCTTTAATTTCGCCGGCATTTTGAGATGTTTCAAGGGCACTTTTGCCCCCTGCTCCTATTCATTTCCAACCCTTCTTCCATCCATCCATCTTCTCCCGCTTATCCGTGGTCGGGTCGCGGGGGTAGCAGTTCCAGCAGAGAGCCCCAAACTTTCTTTTCCCTGGCGACATCAACCAGCTCTGACTGGGGGGTCCCAAGGCGCTCCCAGGCCAGCGAAGAGATATAAATGAGATATAATCCCATTCAACCCTTCTTATGTTTTAGCTAATTATCCCAACGACCTTAAAGTCACAGTTCTTTCCCCCCACTTCTGCTGCTACCTTTAGATATACATGAGCTAACGTTGGACATATTCCAGGATTTACATGTAGATACCAGTCTAATTTTGGGTAATTGTATTTAATTAAAACATGCAAAAACAAACCAAAGGGGTAGCATTTTCAAACTGCGGTAGAGAATCCCCACAGGTCCCAGTGCCACATCTGGCTCATCACAGCCACCAGGCCTCCCGCCAAATCCCAGCGCGAGCACAGGGGCTCAGGTTGGACGTGTGGCAGCAAACCAGCCCCCCCGAGGGTTGTTGCCCAACACAGACTTTTTCTGTTACTCAACAATAGTGTATACTCATCAGGAGTCTTGGTCTGTACAACACTGCATTTTGCTTACTGAAGATCAGGGATATTAGGGACTATTCATTCATCATCAAACCTGTACGTACTGAAAAAAGGAACATCGTTTTTTGTGGAAAATAAGTGCCACTCTTCTGTATAATCAGTTGCTTCTCATCAAGTCTTTTCTCTGAAGAAGAGTCATCAATGCTTCCCTGTGTGATGCTTCGTTGAAACTGCACAACCAGAGAGCTAACATCATTCTGGGATTGTACTGTTGGTCTGTTGTGACAAATGACTGATATATAGCAATATATTACAATGCATGCTTTATTCATAAACTAGCTGTAAGATCATGAGATATTCTCTCATCATTCTGAGGGAGATTCTGTCGTCTTTAACTAGGAAAGTGTTGTTCTTTGTGGCAGCTGATGCCTTACATTTGAATGATGGCACACACGTGTGTTTATTTGTTTGTGTGGGTTATTAAAATCGCACAGACTCTGCTCTATAACACACTGCAATCCTCGTTCACTCAATAATTAACAGAACATGCATAG